GCAGTACTGGGCATGTCCCAGAGCACAGCCAGCTCAGTCTTCATGGCTGGAAGTTTACAGGCGCGCCTCACATACTCAGACACCAGACGAAGCCACAGCCAAGGCAGGGCAGCCCCTTCCCTATGCCTGCAAACACCTAGTTTTACCGAGGGAATCATCATCAACAATCTGTAATAATAAGAGTGTAATATGCTAATTAGACCGGGGTGACCGGCCTTCTTAAGGACATCTGACTTCCTTCCAGACAAAGCCATGGCGGTAGGGGCCAAGGCAGAGGCAGTTAGGGGCAATCAGGCCAGCAGGGGAGAGCAGTTAGGGGCGAGATCAGGCTGCCAGGGGGTTGGGGGCAACCAGGCCGGCAGGGGAGGAAAGTTGTGGGCGACCAGGCCAGCAGGGGAGGGCAGTTGGGGGCATTAGGCAGGCAGGCAGGTGAGTGGGTAGGAGCCAGTGTTCCTGGATTGTGAGAGGGACGTCTGACTGCCCATGGGATCGGGCCTAAACCAGCAGTCAAACATCCCCCAAGGGTCCCTGATTGGAGAGGGTGCAGGCTGGGCTGAGGGACACCCTCACCCCCCGTGCACAAATTTTGTGCACCGGGCCTCTAGTAATAACAATAAAGCAAAACCTACATAAGCCTTCTGCTCCCTCCAGCTACCATTGGAGCCTTCTTCCTGTCAATTCTCCAACACGCCAGCTCGTGGCCTCTCCTGCTAAGACCTCTTCTATTCCTGATTTCCTTTTCACTCGCTCACTCACTCACTCACACGTTCAGAATGTCTGCCGTGTGCCGGCGCTGTGCTAGGCGCTGGGGTGAGAGAAACAGAACCGGTCCTGTCTGCCCTCGGGGAGTTGACAGTCTAGGGAGGACAAGTACTGAAAATACTCCTCCTAAGGAGACCGGGACCCGCCGCACCCTGCTGGCAGCAGCCGCTCACACGCCCTCAGTAAGTGCCTACTCTGTACAGCAAGGTCCTGCGTGTTTTTACACAAAATGACAAGGACTCCCGTCCCTGCGGAATCTGGGAAGATTCGCATTTCTACAAATAACTTGAAACAAACTAGAATATATCAAGGGCCGTGATGAAGGTTCAAACTAAATGACATGGAAGTTAGGAGTGAGACAGACAGAGGAGATAGAACTTCTCTAGTGACGAGAATCAATACCTTTGAGAGGTGGCGACATTTGAGCTGCCCCTAATAATTACAGAGAACTCGGTGGTTCTGTGGCTTTGGTCTGTGTTGTCTTCTCTTCTTTATGAGGTTATTTAAAGTGTGGGAAGTATAAGATGCCTTTTTTTTTTTTTTTTTTTTTAGGTAATCCTCACCCGAGGATATTTTTCCATTGATTCTTAGAGAGAGTAGAAGAGAGAGGGAAAGACAGAGAAAAACACATCAATTGGTTGCCTCCTACACAAGCCCTGACCAGGGCCCGGGCCAGGGAGGCACCTGCAACCAAGGTATGTGCCCTTGAATGGAATCGAACCTGGAACCCTTTGGTCTGCAGACCGACGCTCTATCCACTGAGCCAAACTGGCTGGGGCTGAGTTGCCTTTGACAGACATGAGAACAGAGAGGGACCATTTATTTGGGGTTCTTCTATAAACCAGTGCATGTCCACAGGGTGCCCAGTCCCCACCCCCAGCCCTGTATTCACCCACCAGACGAACTGCCTCGGAACAGACAGAGCAGCTTATGGGATGATTGCGTTTTAATTGAACTGTCTGTACTACTCTGCAAACGCCTCTGAGAGGTGGGAGACCGTGCGGCTTGATACATAAAACCGTTTCTTCTAATAATTGCTTCTGTGAAAGGATTATGGATCTGACCTCCGGGAGGAGTCATTAAACAGCGCGTGGGGAGATTTTCTTAAAGTGACGCCACCATCTGATGGCCGTGGACTGCCTGGCATGCTCTCACGTACAACAGCAGTGCCTGCCAGGGGGCGTGTGGGCACCGTGTCCGCCCACGTGGCAGGCTGTGGTCCGGGTGCTGGGGAACAGCCCATTACAGTCTCCCATGTGCATGGCTGTGGGGGCTTTGTCCACTGTAACATGACCAGAGATCCAGAGGCACGTGGCTTCTGTGTGGCGTCTGCCTCGCTGTGGGAGCAGGATGTTGGCGCTGGGTCCCCTGCTTCCACCTCGGGGTACAGTCCTGCCAGGCGCAGATAGGACCACGCCTCAGAGCACAGCACCCTGGCCGCCTAAGGCCTTCCTGCCCTGGGCTCCTCTTCCTCATCCTCCTCGTCTCTCCTTCCTACTGGGACCCTAGACTCCAAGGCAGGCAAGATGGCCAGGCCGGTGGGACTGCAGGTCCCAGCCCTGGAGCTGCCAGTGATTCCGGGGCAAAGTTAGGAAACTCCTTGGAGCCAAAGTTTTCTCAACCACAAACTGTGGCTAAGAACAGCACCTTCCTTGGGCGGCGCGAGGGCCAATGGCCAAGCACTTAGCGAGCACCCACCACATGCTGTCTGTTCCCATCATTGTCTGTTCCCATCCCATGCACCCCCTGCTCTCCTTTCCTCTCTCATCTGTGACAATTAGACCTCCCGGTGGGGCTGGTATTGGACTAGATTGATACTTAGGGGGTGTGGGGCTCAAACAGCTTTTGTCCCTGACAATATGAGTGACAGGAATGTAGGAGGTGGGATTGTGTCTGATGCTTTAATTTCGTTGGTTATTAAGCCCTGAAAATAACACCTGCTTGTAGCACACAGCAAGCAGCAGGTTGGATTACTGGTGTCTAAAATATGGCATTCCCTTTTCCAAAAGGAAAATGCGAAAGGAAAACAATGAAATCATAACGATAATCACGTATTTACATCTTATTTTGTACTAATGCCTATATAGCCTATAATCTAACATTAGCTCCTATGCACCACCCAGGGGTGGAACTTTTTCACCATCTCCCGGGCCACTCGAGGCGTTCAGGCCCCCTCTGTCGCGGTCCCTCATGTTGAGGTGTCTGTTTTGAAGTTGCAGGAACTCCCACCGAGTGGAGGTGTGAGCCTCAGGCTGTAGAGCAGTCTGTCTCCGTCTGGAAAGGGTCTGTGTTCAGTGAGTACTTAGGTCAGAGTCCTGAGCTTGGAGAGGAGGAGCTCTGTGTGGAGCTACTGGAGGTGGGACAGGAAGCAGCAGTGAGCACATGACTGACAGGTACCAGAATAGAGCTCTGTTCCGACCTGCTGGCCCCCCGTTCCGGGGCACCTGTGATTAAGGGGTCTTAAGTGTATAAATATAGATGACTGGTGACTCCAGGGAGAGCTGCTACACGTGGGAACGTGGTTTCTACCTGGTAAAAGACACGAGGCCATCTCCTGAGTTTCCCAGCTCACCCGCGTGTCCTCTTCTCCACAGTTCGCAAAGGTTACCGGATCCAAGCGGACAAAGAGCGGGACTCCATGAAGGTCCTGTACTACGTGGAGAAGGAGCTGGCTCAGTTTGACCCGGCGCGGAGGCTGCGGGGCCACTGTGAGCATCTGTGTTGTGTGTGATCGGGCCCTCCCTCATGCAGGAATTCACAGCTTAAGGGGACTTGGGGGGAGGGGTCCCCGAACTTGGGCAGCTTTTGACTTTCAGGGTCAGAACTAGCAGGTGCTGGCGATAGCATCCTGAAGAAAGAGCCTTGGAGGGTGCAGGAGGGAGGGACATGGGGCTTCTATGTGAAGAACAGAGACGTGTCCCAGCAGGGTTCAGGTTCGGCGTCTCTCGTCAGGCAGCGTCGCTGGGCTGTGCGCTGGGGTTGGACATGTCTTATGGAAATAGTCCTCTCCACTGGCCCTTTAAGTATACCCAGGACAGAGACTTCCATGTGGAAGCTTTCAGTCTTTCCAACCCGAGAGGCCCTCACACTGAACAACAGCCGGCCACTGGCCGCATGGAGGCCCCGTGCGCGAGAGAACAACTGCGCTGATGCGTGTCATACAAAAGGCCTTCGTGCCTCTGAGATGCCCGACAGCAGAAGGGAACGGGCAAGGCAGGAGGCTGCCCTTGTCAGAGAACTTTTGAATCACGGAGTCTGTAGGGTCAGGGCCCCACCCCTTCACTCACCCTGTGCCTGGAGACTTTGCGGCTGACACAGCCCACTCTTCCCAATGACCAGCGATGGGGAGAGGCAGCCCGGCTGATGTGCAGCACCGAGCGTGCGGCAGGCGTGGCACTGAGGGCACCACACTTCTGTCTTTGAACCCTCCTCACCCTGGGACCTGCCAGGGATGTGATGGGATTGCTGGGGCCACCGTGAACGCAGCTGAGCGGAGCTCTGTGCGGACGAAGGACAACAGGTTCCTCCACGTTTGCGGCTCTAAATTCCTCCCGTTGGAGCTGCATTCGCAGCAGCATCCTCCCACCACCGACTATAAAAAGCCCGTCTCCAGATGGGAATGTCAGGGATGCAGATGTCACCGCACTTGACAAGCTGGTTGTAACCATGTTGTCATGGATCCCTGGAAGGGGACAGAGAGGAGCCCTGGGAGTCTCAGCTCGGAGAAGAGTTAGGCTGGTGTAGGTGGCGTGTCCTGTCTCCCTGGATGAAAATGGTCCCCAGAGCCTGGCAGGTCACAAGGTCATGGGCTCTTGGCGCCCATGGGGACCTTGGAGATGGCCGGGAACCACCTGTGTGGTGTAAAGACGAGGTCACGGAAGCCGGAGTGTGCAAGTGACAGAATCAGACTGGAACCCAGCCCTCCTGACTCTCCGTCCTGTGCTCTTCGCACAGAAACCCGTGAGCAGACTGGGTGGCTCCGTGGCTGCTGTGGCCACAGCCTTCCAGCTCGTAGGACTTGAGGGAGTCGAAGCTGGAAGAGAGGGGGTGCCGAGTCTCCCTCCTTATTTTAGAGGAGGGAAGGGAGGCAGTGGGGGCTCACCGGTGCCAGGTCTTGGCGCCGACGCCAGAACTGGAACCCGGTGTCCTGGAAGCTGCCGGTTGACAGGGCGATAAAGGCACAGAGATGAGGCAGGAAAGCAGCTCACGGGGCTTGGAGAGGTTCTGTCCCTGAGGCAGAGAACCCGGGGCGGGTCACGGAGTGGGGCCGCCTTGAAGATCTCTCCTCAGAGTGGATCTCAGTCTCAGGTTACAACACGGGAGGCATCCGCTCTGTGCGCATTGGTATTCCAGGGTCCACTAGCCATGTGACCCTCACTTGCCCTTGGGATGCCTTTCGTCTGGAATCCCAGTGCAGGGATCAGCAAACTCCAGTTCCGAGGGCACCCATGTCCCGCCTCCTGTGTTGGTGAATACATTTTATTGGAGCACAGCCACGCCAATTCACGTCCATATTATCTCTGACACCTTTCATGCTGCACTGGCAGAGTTGAATAGTCCTGACAGTATGGCTGACAAATCCTAAAATACTTACTGGGCGGCCCTTCACAGAAGAGTTTGCCTGTCCTGTCCCTGAGTTACAGGTGTCCGTAAAGCGGAGGAGGGTGGTGGTCATGTTCAATGGGGCAGAAACTTTAGAGCAGGCAACCTCGCCCACCCACCAGCTGAACGGGGAAACAGAGACGGCCCGGCCCTCCTGACCCGGAGACAGGAAAGGTCTCCGCTGCTCCTGCAGGCTGAGGACATTCTGGGACAATAATGCGGTTTCTCGGTAGTCACACGTGACTGCTGACAGTCCTCACACTCGGTGCATCTTAAAAGTTCTCTCCTGCGTGCTTCCTGGGAGATTGCTCCTGAGAAAGGAAAGGTTCTAGATTTTATTCCTCAAGAGGCTCTGAGTTATTGTCGTTTAAATACACACCAGTCCATTTTCCTTCGGAGGAAGAAAGGTTTAAAATTAGATTATAATTCAAAACCCAAAACCAATTGATGACCAAGTACCCGGTGCTCCTGGTCAGCCGTGTCCTGGAGAAGGAGAGGCGGCACGTGCCGCTGTGGGAAGGACCACCCTCCCCTTCGGGGGGGAGCCAGCAGCAGTTCTCAGGGACACGGGAGAAGACGCAGAGGGAACGCAGGCCCACATTTATGCCTCCCACATCCCATCCTGGCTTACCTCTCGCTCAGCAGCCAGACCTTCCATGTTGCAAATGTTGACTTTGATAATATTTGAAGTTCTAACCAAAGGATTTTAGAAAACAAATGGCTTGAATTACAGTACAAATAGATTAAGTAGATGTATTTTTTTAAGGAAAATGACATTCAATCCATTTCAAAGTTCTACAAATAAATAGGTGTGTATTTTTCTTTCCGGATTGCAATGCTGGTCTTTTTCGTAAGTGCTGTTGCAAATAGCTCCCGAGGCCACCTTAGGACATGAGAAAGCTATGCCCAGCCCCCCCGCCTCTCACAATGTGGGGCTGGGGCTAGACCACACGTGGAGGCCCAGGCCCTGGTGCAGCCGGCCCCCTGGCCTGCCTGCACCTCCAAACAGCTGTCCTGGCCGCCAGGCCGCATACACCTAGAACACTCTCTGGGGAGGGGAAGGGCCTGCCTTGGCCCTGGAAATGGACTTGGAGCCATTGGGAGACGATATTCCAGGCTCCTAGACGAGCTTCCAGCAGGAGGTGGATGGTCAGACCTGAGGTGTGCATGTATCCCTGGCCCTGTGGACGCCTTGCTCTGGGACGGGCACGGCTGCAGGAGGCTGGCCTGGGTGCTTCACTGCCAGGGCAGTACTCACCCTGAAGGCCCCGCCTCGGGACTCGGCCAACAGTAGGGAAGGTACTGTGATCTGGGGCTTCTCTCTTCTTTACCCCTTTTGGCTCAACATGCCACAGCTCATCACAGAATCATGCAAGACGACAACATGCGTGTGAACAAGATGATGATGTCGTAGGAGGAGACAGCTGCGGGGTCCCCGTGCTGGGAACCCTGCCTTAGGTGGAGCAATGGCGATTGTTTTCCGAGTCCAAGAACGAAAGTCTCCCACTCTAGGCAAGAGAGCTTTGAGCTGGACCCAGCGCCCGCCCAGCTAAGGGCACAAACAGGCTAGTTCAGGTCTTCACCACCCTGGACAGACGGGGCTGAGCGCTGGGTGGGGTTCCCGAGGCTCCTGGTCTCGCTCTGGCCAGCGGTCCTGTCCTGGCCAGCATGCAGAACACTGTCCTACCTCGTTTCGTCCCTGCAGATAACAACACCATCTCGGAACTCAGCTCCCTGCACGAGGAGGATGGCAATTTCCGCCAGTCTTACCATCAGATGCGGAGCAAGCAGTTCCCTGTGTCCCGGGACTTGGAGAGCAATGCTGACTACTGGTCGGGCGTCATGGGAGGCAGCAGTGGGACGAGCCGGGGGCCCTCGGCCGTGGAGTACAACAGAGAGGACCGGGACAGCTTCAGGCACAGGTGAGGGGTGGAGGGGCGGCTCGGGCTGGGCGTGAGGCAGGAGCAGGAGGCAGGTGGATCCGAGGCTGTTCTTACCCGGTCGCACCTCTGCCTGCCATTCTAGGTGATCCTGCCACATCCTCTCAATGAGAACACCCCCTCCCCACACTTATTAAGCAACGTGTCACGTGAAGTCACCATTCCAGGCTCTTAATGAACCCTGTTCGCCTTTCCCTGCCTTCTCATATGTTTTATCCTGTGGCCTCTACAATACCCCACCCATCAGCTCCACCCTTTTTGCTCATTTGTTACGTGAAAGGTAAAACGCCAAACATGTTATACTGTTGCGTCTGATTGTCATAACTGTACAGGCAGGTACCGTTCATGTCCCCATTTTAACTCGCAGACCCTGGACCTCACAGGGAGGCCAGGGACTCTCCCCGGGTCACACAGCCAGTGAATGCAGGAGGCCCAGGTGTGGGCCACTCTTGTCTGGCCGCTTCCCACTGGGGCGCCTTCCTCACTCACCTGCCCTCTCCCTTGAAGGGCAGTGGACAGCGCCTTTCTCCCCCTCATCAATGTGGGCCCCTCCGGCCTGCGCCCAAGAGGAACCTGTCAGGTGGAGGGAGGACAAGGCCTGTTCATCACCAAGTATCACAGGGCTCCTTGGGCCGCAGCCGGGTGAACTGCCAGCCACCCCTGTACCCAGGGAGCTGAGGTGTGGCAGTGGCTCCAGCTGCCAGCCATTGGTCAGTGATAACGCTCGGGAGGCCACGCCCTGTGGCTCACAAAGCTCCACCCACTGACCCCCGAGCCCCACTGTGACGCTCCGCACTGAGCCCCATTGTGATGCTCCGCACCGACCCTGAGGTGGACACGCCGCCGCCCCTCACTGTGGAGAACCTGCCCCGAGAGGTGGCCGGGCTCCCAGCAGGTCCCCAGGCGCAGGCAGACCGTGTCCCTGGCCTTCCGGGCGCCTGACCCGGTCCCTCTCCCGCAGCCAACAGCGCTCCAAGTCCGAGATGCTGTCGCGCAAGAGCTTCGCCACGGGGGTGCCAGCCGTGTCCATGGACGAGCTGGCCGCCTTCGCCGACTCCTACGCGCGGTCCCGCCGGGCGGCGGAGTGCGGTCTGTACGCATGGGCCGGAGCCCGCTTCGAGCGTTCGTAGTCGCGCGCTCCGAGGCTCGCTCTGGGGACGGCCCGACGGAGGGCTACCAAC